TATTCTTAGGTTTTTTCGGTAAAGTCGCGTAGGTAAAAAATTTAAATTAATAAAAGTAAAATAAAAAATAAAATAAAAATCACGACGTTTCGGAGGCAACACAAGCTTCCGTCTTCAGGTGGAACCGTCACAGCACGACAGCTGTATCAAGTAAATGAGAGATTACAAGAGATACCACTCCGTATATATAATGGTTGAGGAGGGGGGGGGGGGGGAAGGGCCAGGATTTAAAAGTGCACAGCTCCAGTGGCTTCCGAATGTCGGAAGGAAGAGCGTTCCAGACGGCCGCCGAGGGCATCTGCAAGCGCCGTGCGATGCAGTGACCGCATCGTGGTTGTGTCGTGGTCGATTCTTTTTGTTCCTGTCTCATTAACTTCACACGCAGTGGCTGAACGCGGGGCCGCAGGGCCCACAAAGAGGCAAATAACGTAAAGCGAGCGTCAATAAACAGCAAATTGAGTTGAGTTTGGTTAGTGTTGTCATCATTAGCGCTTGACGATGGTCATTGATGGGAGGAGAGAAGAAGCAGAAAGAGAAGCGATGTGACCTGCAGTGTGGTGAGTGGATGGGTGAATGGGTAGGTGAGTGGATGAGTGAGTGAGTGGGTAAGTGTGTGGATTATTGAGTGGGTAGGTGAGTGGATGGGTGAATGGGTAGGTGAGTGGGTAAGTGAGTGGATTATTGAGTGGGTAGGTGAGTGGATGAGTGAGTGGGTAGATGAGTGGGTGATTGAGTCAGTGAGTGGATATGTGAGTGAGTGTGTGAGTGAATGAGTTGTGAGTAATGAGGTGAGAGAGTGGGTGAGTGAATGCACGAGTGGGTGGCTGAGTGAGTGGGTGTGTGAGTGGGTGTGTGAGTGAGTGGGTGTGTGTGAGTGAGTGGGTGGGTGTGTGAGTGAGTGTGTGAGTGAGTGGGTGTGTGAGTGAGAGTGTGTGTGTGTGAGTGAGCGTGTGAGTGTGTGTGAATGAGTGTGTGAGTGAGTGGGTGACTGAGTGAGTGGGTGTGTGAGGGAGTGTGTGAGTGAGTGGGTGTGTGAGTAAAAGTGTGAGTGTGTGTGTGAGCGTGTGAGTGAGTGTGTGTGAGTGAGTGTGTGTGAGTGAGTGTGTGAGTGGGTGTGTGAGTGAGTGGGTGTGTGAGTGTTTGAGTGAATACATGAGTGGGTGACTGAGTGAGTGGGTGTGTGAGTGAGTGTGTGAGTGAGTGTGTGAGTGAGTGTGTGAGTGAGTGGGTGTGTGTGTGTGAGTGAGTGTGTGAGTGAGCGTGTGAGTGAGTGTGAGTGAGTGCTGTTGTGACCCGCGGTTTGATGGTTGAGCACAGCACGGATGAGACGGTGGTTGTTGTGGCAGTCGATGTGGTTGCTGTTGTTGTTTTGCGAAGTCTTGCCGCGCGGGGTCACGCCTGGAGGCTGTGATGTCTGCCGACTGTTGTTGTTGTTTGTGGCTCGTGACTGCCCGCTGTGACTAACACCCCCGTGACGCTTTACAAACAAACTCAGAGGCACGTCGCTTTCAGCGGGCAGTCGATGGGGGTGAGTGAAGGTGGTGGTGAGTGGATGGGGTGGTGAGTGAGGGGGTGGTGAGTGAGGGGGTGGTGAGTGAGGGGTGGTGAGTGAGGGGGTGGTGAGTGAGGGGTGGTGAGTGAGGGGGTGGTGAGTGAGGGGGTGGTGAGTGAGGGTGGTGGTGAGTGAGGGGGTGGTGAGTGAGGGGGTGGTGAGTAAGGGGGTGGTGAGTGAGGGGGTGGTGAGTGAGGGGGTGGTGAGTGATGTAACGAGTCTCACCCCCCCCCCCCCCTCCGCCGCATCACAATGCGCTCCTCTCCCCAATGTAGATTCGCTACATAGTGACGATTCGATAAAACCATCTATCAGTCGATGCATGGTTTTATTTATTCCTGTTTGTATTGTTCTGTCTCGTTTGCATTGTTCTGTCTCGTTTGTATTGTTCTGTCTCGGTTCTATTGTTCTGTCTCGTTTGCATTGTTCTGTCTCGTTTGTATTGTTCTGTCTCGTTTGTATTGTTCTGTCTCGTTTGCATTGTTCTGTCTCGTTTGTATTGTTCTGTCTCGTTTGTATTGTTCTGTCTCGTTTGCATTGTTCTGTCTCGTTTGTATTGTTCTGTCTCGTTTGTATTGTTTTTCTCGTTTGTATTGTTCTGTCTCGTTTGTATTGTTCGTATCGTTTGTATTGTCTGTCTCGTTTGTATTTTCTGTCTCGTTTGTATTGTCTAACTCGTTCCCATTGTCTGTCGCGCTTGGTCAGGGGGTTTGGGGGGTCGCGATGGAGGGAGATTGCGTCGACGAACAAATAACCTCGAAAAACACACATTATATATATGTGTAAAATATACAAACAAAAACCAAGTGACGCATTAACAACATTACTCGTGCTACGTCTAGGTCTGGACAAGCGGCAGCCAATTCTGTCAACCGAATCCCCTCGCCGCCGAGTGGGAGCCGACAAGGCTGGGAGGACATTAATTAGGTCTGAGTTGAGATTTACACAGGATCGGGGGGGGGGGGTGAGACGGGGGACCGCGAGGGGGGGGGGGTGCAGAGAAGGGAGGGGGGGCGGTGGGGGGTGAATGAGAGAGACCTGCAGACAGAGGCGTTCAATTAATGAGCTGCTTCATTTGGGTAATTTGGAAGGTAGCGCCAGGCACGCGCGGGGAGGCGCCTGAGCGACCCACTGGGGGGCAGGGGGCGGGGGGGGGGCAGGGGGGGCGGGAGGGGGCGGGGGGGGAATGCGCGCGAGCACGAACGCGCAAGGGCGCGCGCGCCCGAGGAACAAAAGACAAAGGTCCCCCGTATAGCCTTGGACCGGCTGTTGTTGTGGTGAGCGAGTAGCACCTATGAAAGCCAGCACAGCTTGCTCCACGAGGGCGTGTGGGGGGGGGGGGGGGGGGGCGGCACCACGCCCGATGTTTACACACCGCAGCAGGCATACGGTACTCATTTGAGGCCGAGTCGACCTAGTGGAGGCTCAGATAATCGCCGCCGGTGTTGGCCGTGAGCGGGAATCGAACTCGGTTAGTAGCCGGGATCGTAGCGCAGAGCGCGCTCCGCCACCGCTCTCCCACAAAGACAAAGATCCCCCGTATAGCCTTTAACAAACTGTCGGGGCAAGTGCTGTTAGCGAGCACCTATGAAGGCCGGAACGGCACACGTGGGGTGGGTGGCCAGCACCACGCCCGACCCCCTTTGTCTCCCGAGTGTCGATGTTTACACACCGCACGAGGTACTCATTTGAGGCTGAGTCGACCTAGGGGGAGGCCCAGGACCGGTTCTGATAATCGTCACGGGTGTTGGTGGCCGTGATAGGGAATCGAACTCGGGTAGCCAGGTTTGTAGCGCAGCGCTAACCGGTACGCCACCGCTCCCCGACTCCCGCTTTCATACACACACGCACACATGTACACACTCGCACACACGCACACACACACACGCACACACATCCACACGCACACACATACACGCACACACACACACGCACGCACACACACGCACACACACATGTACACACACGCACACACAAATGTACACACATGTACACACACGCACACACACACGCACACGCGCGCGCGTGTCCCTCCAATGGCCTCTGTGCCGGCGCTGTGCAGGGGTCACGCAGCGGTGACCCGGCGTGACCCCGAGCGCCGATCGAGACGGGCGCGAACACAAACAGCGCGACACGTAAACACAACAAACAACAACAACACGTGACCCGCGCTGCAGGCGCGACCCCGACAGCAGAGGTCACAGACGTCACTCACCATCATCATTCGCATCACCACCATCATCATCTTCACCATCATCCTCACCATCATCAACGGTCAGCCTGCATATCATAATTATCAGCCGAGTAGCCCAGCACCGTGGAGGCAGTAGCGAGGGGTGGTGGGTCACACGCAGATCTTCTTGCGAAATTGCCTTCCCGTGGGCTTTGAGGAGGAAGCCGTCCCCTTTGGCTCGTATGTATGTGTGTACCGTATGTTGAACTTCGTTCGCACCGTACTTAGCACAAACGTGATAATCGGAGGTGCGGGGGAAGGACAACAAACTAAACACACTCAAGCAGATCTCCAGGAGAAGGCGGCACAGCAAAGTGTGACGAATCGCCATCTGGTTCCATCTGTACGGGGGTGGGGGTAGGGTTGTCACCCCACCTCGTGAAAGCCGTGGGATTTTCTCCGGGTGCTCCGATTTCCTCCCACGTGTAACATAAACAACTCGTTAATTAATTGGCTGAAAACAAATTTAAACAGTTTTTTTATTTTACCAGGTGAGGTCCACACTGAGCTATGTAGCTCCTTATTTTTCGAAGCGACCTGTCCACGAACGACAGCTCAACGAAGATGATGGTCACCACGTGGACATTCACAGCAGCAGCAGCCAAATAGTCTAAACGCGCGACGTTGGTTCTAAATGTGGAGGGGGAAAGCCGGAGGGCCCGGAGAGAAAATCCATGCGACCACGGGGAGAGTGGGACACGTGAACTCCAAATATACAGCAGCAACAGGCGTCAGGGTCGGGATCGAACCCAGGACCTCGTGCGTACTCGGCGAGGGAGTTAACATCTCCCAGCCACCACAGCGCCCCCCAATGTGGCAGCAGGAACCCTCCAGAAAACGAATCATGCGACTCTGTGTGCCTCTCTTGGTTAAAAAGAAAATCAGTGATTGCTTTCATTTATTTTTCTACCTATAATTTACAAGCGCGTTTTCAATCAACTGTTGGATGAAGGTCACTCTACCACGGGGGGCCGGGGGGGTCGTGGGGGTCACTTGCACGCGAGCGAATCGCGTGAGTGTGGATCAAGCCCGTCGGAAGAGGCTCTGCGGCATCTGCTGACACGGGCCACTCTCTACAGCGCTGCACGTGGCGATGATTCTTCCGGGCGGGTGGGTGTGGCGGGAACAGATGGGAGTACTGCGCGAACGAAAATCACCACAAGAAATCGTTTGTGAAATTCAATATAAGTGGTAATTCTTTATGAATCTGCAGGTCTTTAAAAAAAAAACATTAAACATCACAAAATTACAGCTTGACCGACGCACACACACACGCACACATCGTATAGGCGTTGCGTGTGCGTGCATGCGTACGCCACCACGATCATCATCACCATCAAGTCGCAATATCTACACGTGCCATGCGGGGAGGTGACCCATTCTGTTTCAATTCAACTGGCTCAGAATAGCCACTTGCTTTGCCGACTTGAACGTAAAACACCCTAAACCTAAACAAACTGGGAGCGAATATTTTTTAGTTTACTCTTGATAAAATATGAATAATAATAATAGTAAATTCTGAGCAAGTGTTTATTTTCCTAAATACAAAACAATCAAACGATCGTAGACTTCTTTGGTCGTGTCATTATTGACATCGCATCTTGCAAACACTGGACGGACATCGCGCCCGCGTGTGTTGTGTGGTGGGGAGCGGTGGCGTAGTGGTTAGCGCGCTGTGTGTTGTGTGGTGGGGAGTGGTGGTGTAGTGGTTAGCGCGCTGCGCTTTGAACCCGGCGACCCGGGTTTCGATTCCCGCTCAAGGCAAAACACCAGTGACGATTAATCGAATGGGTCCTGGGCTTCCCCTAGGTCGACTCAGCGTCAAATGAGTACCTGGTGCGATATGTAAACATCGCCACTGGGGAGACAAAGGCGGCCGGGCGTGGTTGCTGGCCACCCACCCCCTCGCGTGCTGTGCCAGGCCTTCAGAGGTGCTCGCTAACAGCACTTGCCCCTACAGTCTGTTACAGCCTATACGGGGGGGGGGATCTTTGTCTTTGTGTTAGGTTATAGGTGATCTAGGGAGCGGTGGTGCAGTGGTTAGCGCTACGCTGAGCTACGATCCCAGCAGCTACCCAAGTTCGATTCCCGCTCACCGCCTCCAACCCCGGTGACGATTATCCGAACCGGTCCTCGACCTCCGCGAGGGTCGACTCAGCCTCAAATGAGTACCGGGTGCAGTCGTGCGTAAACATCGCCACTGGGGAGACAAAGGTGGCCGTGCGTGGTGCTGGCCACCGACTCGGCCCTCACCGGTGCCGCTCGCTACCCGCTGCGCCACCGCTGCCCGCTCACCTGTGCCGCTCGCTACCCGCTGCGCCACCGCTGCCCGCTCACCTGTGCCGCTCGCTACCCGCTGCGCCACCGCTGCCCGCTCACCTGTGCCCAAGCGGCGAGTGTGGAGCGTCTAGGCGAGGCGCCACACTGCGCGCGCATCAACATTTCCGTCTCGGCTTCGACCACCGCCTCATTCGTCGTTAACACTGATTGGTACAAAAAAAACAAATAGCAAATTGCACTTTGATTTGATTAAGAACATCTAAACAATGACATACACGTGTACAACATAGCTATATATATATATATTTATAAACGAAAACACGCAAACGTGTGCTGGTCGGGCGGGTAGCAGCATTTCTTGCCGCTCGAGTCGTCGATGAACGTTCGATTATCATCGATTAATATTGGTTATTGATTATCGATTACAAGGGGAGCTGCCACAGTGTGGGGTGACGGTCAGCAGCAGTAGCAGCAGCGGCACACGAGACTCGCAACGCAGAGTTCGCAGGTTCGATTCCATCTCCTGGCTAGGCAGTCGAAACAATGGGGCGAGTTCCTAAACAACACCCACCAATCCACGCAGCCAGCAACAGGGAATCAATCGACTCACACGTGTTAGTGGACCTCTTCAGGTCCACCTGCGTTGGGGTCGTGTGGGTGGGTGGGTGCTTCCACCGCTTGCAACACGTGCGGTCAGCATGGAAGAGTAGGCCAAATTCCATCCACCGGAGGCGCTGTCTTGACGCTCCCTCTCAGTGGATGTCCGTCTGCCAGTGGCGGCGTGAGTGGGACATTGCAGGGCCGCGCCTTTACCACGGCACGCGCGCGTGAAATCGCATTGCGTTCGCGTGCCTCCCTCGGACCATCCGCTTGGAGGGTGCTGGGTTGTTTTTGTTCCTGCATCTTCTATGTTTTATTTTTACACGCTTTCTATTAACTCCCTCTGTTGTTGTTGTCGTTGTATCCTCAATTTTAACCCACTTCCCAATGTGGTATCGACTGCAAACTCGGTATACTTATGTCATACTGATGACAATACTATATTCTATCATAACAAATAATAAAAATATTTCTAAAAATATGTTTTTATATGTTATGTTTCGCCTTGGGTCTAATTGTCCACGCTCAACTGACGTTGGCTGTACATCACCATGGCCCCTTACGTTGTGGCAAGCTTCGGGGCCACTTCCTGGAGTCGTGGAGTTCTTCCATTACTAGTAGGGTACATTTAATTAAAGCGTGTTTAAAAAAAAGTTTTTTTAAATATTACTTATTGTTCCTGCATCTTGAGGCGTGATACCAGTGCCTCTCTTTCTCTCTGCTGGGATGCGCGTTGGGAGCGAAGAGAAGACCTAAGACTAGAAGGGCAGAGTGGGTTGGGAGGGATAAACTGTCTGGGGAGATGTATGTGTCTCTATGTGGGTTTGTGCGTCTATTTACGTGAGTCTATGGGTTTCTGTGTGGGTCTATATGTGTCTGTGCGAGTCTGTGGGTCTCTGTGTGAATCTATGGGTCTATGTGTGAGTCTATGGGTCCCTGCGTGAGTCTATAGGTCCCTACGTGAGTCTGTGGGTCCCTGTGTGAGTCTATGGGTCTCTGCGTGAGTCTGTGAGTCTCTCTGTGTGAGGAGGAGTAGGGTAGAGAGTATGATGATGATGATGATGTCACCACCATCATCATCATCACTTGGTAATTGAGACGCGGTTTTCATGCAGACGCTGTGTAAATTTCAAATCGCAACTGTATGTCCGTAAGTTCCTTCGTAGGTTCGTGACGACGCTACACGAAACAAAGTAGGCACGGCAATAATACAACAGCGACGGATGGGGATTCTCAAAATCGTGTCCCGGTGAAATCATGGAGCTGCCACACAGATGGAGCGCTTCGCATGCGGTGATGCTGCCGTTGCTGCCACTGCTGGTGGTATGGGTGTTGTTCAGAAAGGTGTGGTTGAGTGGGGTGTTGTTGAGTAGGGTGTTTAGATCAGGAGTGTTACTCTGCAGTAATCTAATGGACGGAACAAAGCACGCAGCCCGATCCTCCGGTCAGATTCCGCATCCCCGGATCGCGACGGGACCAGAAGCGTGGCCCGTAACAACCACAACTACCACCACCACCCTGTTGACACAAGAAGCGGTGTGACGCGTGTGTGCCGCACGAGCGTCACGCGGAGTTCGCGCGAACAAAACAAGTATTCTTTGGCAAATCTCACCAAACAAAGAGGACGGAAAGAAGTTGCGAAAGATGCTTCTGATGCGGCCGCTGCTCGTGCTTTTGAGTTTTGTCTTTTCCGTTCCAAGGAATGGCTCTCTGTTATATCTCTCCGCGTTCATTCTCTCATTGCTTTCTACATTTCAATCTCACTTTGTGTGTGCATGTAAAAAAGAAATGCAAAGACCCCACCGTGTAGGCCTTAACAAACTGTTGGGGCAAGTGCTGTTAGCGAGCACCTATGAAGGCCGGAACGGCACACGAAGGGGGTGGGTGGCCAGCACCACGCCCGACCGCCTTTGTCTCCCCAGTGGCGATGTTTACACACCGCACCAGGTACTCATTTGAGGCTGAGTCAACCTAGGCGAGGCCCAGGACCGGTTCAGATAATCGTCACCGGTGTTGGCCGTGAGCAGGAATCGAACCCGGGTCGCCAGGTTCGTGTCGCAAGGCGCTAACCGCTGCACCACCGCTCCCCCACACACTCACACATATATATAGGATGGCCCAAAGAGTTCAGAACCCACAGGGTTATTTCATGAAAACATCGAATTTATTCCGTAAGTTAATATGTAATTTGTTATCACTATTAATATTTATTTTTCCTCTTCTCCCTCCAACTCCTTCTGATGGCATTTAAAAATTCAAAGAAAATTAACTAAAGATGAGCGAGTTCAATTCAGTTTGTATATGTGCGTGTGTGTGTGTTTGCTAAAGAAGGCAGCCGTAATATTTTCGAATAGAAAAAATAATTTCGAAGAGAACTCGTGCATCCGTGCATGGAAGTCAGTTTGAACAATTGCAAAGGAGACGTTAAAAGCAGCCCCGATATGAATTGTCAAAATAAATATAATTACCCTCTGTGTCCCGACGTTTTGGGCCACCCTGTACATACGCGGTATATTTTACGTCTAATATTGTTATTCATATTATTAATAAAAATAATAATATTATCAGAACCGTCTCTGGCTTAGGACACCGTACAACCGCGTCTCTCTCGAGTCCCCGTGAAGCAGCGAGCGTCCGAATCCGGCGTCATTGCCCGGCGCTTGCTTCGCCAAGTGACCGTGTGGGGATGACCGCACGGTTCTTCACGTCGCTATTTTCCCGCGGGTGGTTCGGGCGACCCTGGACGTGGTGTGCCGGGTGCGGAAATATTTTTCCAGGGTCGGCGGTCCGGACGGACCGGACCAGCGCTGAAGCGAAACCTCCGGTGACGACCGACGTTTCCAGACGGACGACAGCTTCTCCTTCCGGGTCGTGGCGCGGCCACCGCTGACGAGACAACGGACGTCGACACCGTCCCCGCAGCTCTCGCTCGTGTCCCAATCATCGCTGATCGCGGACGAATCCGGTGAGCCATGAAGCTCTTCTTCACGGACGTCCGGCAGGAAGCGCTGCGGCTGCCGATGAAGGTGAGTCGCGCTCCGCAGGATGAGGGGGGGGGGGGGTGATGCGCCGCCGCCGGAACGTCACGAATCAAGAAACTTCGGCTCCCGCCGCAGAGAGACAGTGGCGACTACACCAGGGTCATCGCGCACCAGAACCCGTGTCGCGCGCCCTCCGACCCCGCGTCGTGCTGCTCCGACGAAACCTGCTGGTGCTGCTGGAGCTGCTGGTGGTGCTGGTGGTGGTGGGGCTGATGCTGCTGCTGCTGGTGATGCTGGTGGTGGTGGTGGGGCTGATGCGGTTGGTGATGGGTCGGCGCCGACGGCGACAGGTTCCTCCGCTGCACCGCGTGCATGGCCAGCGCGCCCGAGCGCGGGCTCTGGACGCCGGCCACGGGGGAGGCCGGCGATGAACCCTGCCGGGAGACACCGACACAGCGACAGTCGGCGTGGGGACCCATTGGACGGCCACGGAGATGACGGTGGAATAACGACGATGGCCGGGGTGGGATTTGTTTTGTTTTGCAGGAAGGTATACACGTGCGTGCGTGCGTGTGGGTGTGCCTGTGTTTTATCGTTGGCGTGAGGAGCGGTAATCGTAGCGGTTAGCGCGCCGTTCTACGAACCCGGCGACCCGAGTTTGATTCCCGCTCGTGGTTAACACCGGTGATAATCTCAACCAGTCCTGAGCCTCCCTTAGGTCGACTCAGCCTCAAATGAGTACCCGGTGCGGTGTGTAAACATCGCCACTAGGGAGACAAAGGCTGCCGGGCGTGGCGCTGGCCACCCACCCCGTCGTGTGCCGTGCCGGCCTTCATAGGTGCTCGCTAACGGCACTTGCCCTTACAGTCTGTGAAGGCTACGCGGGGGGGGGGGGGGGGGGGGGGGGATCTTTGTCTTTGGTGGTGGACGCTGTGCGTACCTGTGTGGCGTTGGGCGAGCTGTACCCGGACGTGCCCAGGCCTGGGTCCATCTTGATGAGGGCGATTGGCTCCGTGGGGGTCGCTCCCTTCCCCGTGCCCACTCCCAGCTCCCCCGCCTGATCCGGCCCTGGGAAACGATGTCAGGGTGACACGTGAACCTCCAGACGAGACCGTGGGCTTCACGCGGCCGTGACGGACGGCAGCGGTGCCTTCGTCCAGCAGTGGATAGAGCCTGACCGACAGCCGTTTATTGCGTCCGCATGCAGAGAGGCTGATGGTGGTGATGGCAGTGATGATAGCGAAAATTATGACGTTGACGATGACGATGATGATGACAGTGACGATACAGCATCTGTGCGGTGGATTGTATGTAGGTATGTGTGTTGAACTTCTTTCGCACCGTACGGGATCTCACCCGGATGGGGCTTGCACTTGTTGGGGTTCTTGGGTTTGCGTTTACGCGTCTGGATTCCCTCCTTCTTCATGGCGAGAGGCCTCGGGACCTGGGGTCACGACGGGACACAGCGGTAATCAGAATGTTTGATACGGGAGGAATCCGATGAGCTCTGAAGCCCTTCATCACAGATGTCCAGGAGTGTCCAGTGCCGGAGGCTCGCTGACGATCTCCAACGCGGTGGAGATGCGAAACTCTCCTGAACACAATAAGTAAATAATCGGAGTGGCTGGCTTGGCTTGAGAGGTCAGAGGGGATGAGCCGCCACTGCTGAGAGCCTGGGTTCAAGTCCGGGTTTCAGCCGCAAAGCGACCGTGTGTGTGTGTGCGTGTGTGTGTGTCCGTGTGTGCGTGTGCGCCACTCACGCCGTGGAGTTTGCTGTAGAGGCCGCAGGCGTTGCACACGGGGTCCCCGTCCGTATTCCTCCTCCACAGCGTCGTGGTGCTCGTCTGGCAGTTGGAGCACGAGAGGCCGACGCGGCGCGAGCCGGACTGCTGCTCAGGGGGACAATTCGGGAGACATGGGGGGCATGCGGGAGGAGGGGGGACACCAGGGGGACATGGGGGACATGCGGGGGGAGGGGGGACACCAGGGGGACATGGGGGACATGCGGGGGGGTCACGAGGGGGACATGCCGGGGGGCACATGGAGACACAGGGACACAGAGACACGGAAACACAATTAATGATGAACGTTTACTCTTATTATTATGAAACCACGTGGAGAAAACCCCACGCATTGCGCGAGAGGGGCAACACTCTATCCCCGTACAGATGGAGACAGATGGCGATTATCGGCCAGGATTTTGCCAGCGGAGAGAAAAAAAATGAAAAAATACCATTTGGGCCAGACAACGCAAGTACCAGTAACTACGATCGACTATTTTTTATTCACCAGGTAAGGCATCGCTGAGATGTGCAGCTCTTTTTTCGGAAGCGACCTGGGCCATCGCAAATGGCAGCCAAGCAAAGTGGCTCATCATCACGTGGGGACTTATAGCAGCAGCCAAAATACTCTCAACACATTTCGATTCGCAGCCCGCCACAAACCGCATGCGTCCACCCAGCAGCTGGGTAAGATGGGGTCGTGGCGGTGAGTTGTCGTCAGCGGTCCGCGCACGCGGTGGGGTAAAGTGCGGGTAACTTCGTACGTCTCTTCCGAGAGATGATGCCCATTTGGCCAGCTTGGTTAAGTAACATCTTGGAAGAGTAGGCCAAACGCGCGAGTCTAATAAGACGGGATGTCTCCCTCCCTCTCCCTCTCTCTCTCTCTCCAGCCAGCGGCGTGATTGCGAGGAATTGCAGGGCTGCGCTTTTTTTTACCCAGTCCTGGGAATCCATCACAAGCACCTCCCCTCCCCCTTGTCTCTATCTCAATGCTGGCGAGCGTGATAGTTCAATAAAAAAAAAACATTCTCATAATAATAATAATAACCGTCAAAAATATCGCAACGCAGCCTCCATCATCCATCTGTCCGCCCCGCCGTCTTGCGCAACATAAAACACGGCGATTTTATTATTATTCTGTTTAAGCGGTGGAGAATATATATATGTGTGTGTGTGTGTATTCGTGGGGCGTCGTGTGAATAGCGCCGCGGGTCTCTCTCTCTCTCGCCTCGGGGCCGGCCCTGAATTACGGGTGTTGATCTTGAGCCTTATGAATGTGTTAAAACACTTCACATTCCACAAAGAACTACTTAACTGGAGGCCCCGGACGAAGAGAAATAAATAGCGGCTTTATAGATGGGACGGGGCCGCCCCATGTGCCATCGCCAAACCCCGAGCCAACTCCTGCCCCCCCTCCTCACCCCCACTCTCACCCCCCCTACCCCCCCATCTCTCCCACCCCTTCGCCACCCTGTCCGGGATATGTGGGGGTGTTTTGGGGAGTGGGCGATCTAAGCCCCCCTCTACCCCCCACTTCCCTACCCCCACCATCACCGCCCCCCCCCCTGACTCCCACCCCTCGCAAGCCGTGCGCTGTAACTGATGGCGACTGCCAAACCGCGAGCATTCGCACAGCACCCCGGTGCGTTACAGACGTCGCGCCTCTTGGCTTTGCTCGGCACCATGTCCGACGTTCCGCACCGTATGGCCGAGCGAGAGCTGCGGCGGGGGGGGGGGTGGTGGTGGTGGTGTGGCGGTGGTAGCGCCGGTGATGGTGGTGATGGTGGGGAGCGGTGGCGTAGCGGTTAGCGCGCTGAGCTGTGCACCCGGCGACCCGGGTCAAATTTACCACTCTCAGCCAACACCAGGGACGATTATCTGAACGGGTCCTGGGCCTCCCCTAGGTCGACTCAGCCTCAAATGAGTACCCGGTGCGATGTGCAAACATCGCCACTGGCCACCCACCCCCTCGTGTGCCGTGCCGGCCTTCATAGTTGCTTGCTTACTGCACTTGCCCCAACAGTCTGATAAGGCTATACGGGTGATCTTTGTCTTTGGTAGCGATGGTGGTAGCAATGGCGGTAGCGGTGATAGTGGTGGTAGTGGTGATAGTGGTGGTAGCGGTAGCGGTGGTAGTGGTGGTAGTGGTAATAGTGGTGGTAGCGGTGATAGTGGTGGTAGCGGTGATAGTGGTGGTAGCGGTGGTAGTGGTGGTAGCGGTGATAGCGGTGGTAGCGGTAGTGACTGTGCGGGTCACCATGCGTCGTGGCGGCTTGATGAGGGGCCGGTTGATGCCGTTCATCTTGTGGTAGAGGCCGCACGCGTTGCACAGGTAGTGCCCCGTGCCGTCACGCCGCCACAGCGGGGTGGACATGGCGCCGCAGTTCACACACTCGCGGCCCTCCATGAAGTCATCCATCAGCTCTGCGGGGTGGCGGTGGTGGTGGTGGTGGTTGTGGAACGGTGGTGGTGGTAGTTTTGAGATGGGGTGGAGGTGGTTGTGGTGGTATGGTGGTGGTGTGGTCGTGGTGGTGGTGATGTTAGGGTGTGGTGGTGGTTGTGGAGTGGAGGTGTTGGTAGTTTTGAGATGGGGTGGAGGTGTCGGTATGGTTTTAGTGGTGGTTGTGGAACGTTGGTGGTAGTTTAGAGATGGAGGTTGTGGTGGTATGGTGGTGGTGTGGTTGTGGTGATGTTAGGGTGTGGTGGAGTTCGTGGAGTGGCGGTGTTGGTAGTTTTGAGATGGGGTAGAGGTGGCGGTGTGTTGGTGGTGGTCGTGATGTTATGGTAATGGTGTGATGGTGGTAGTGGTTTGGCGATGGGGTGGTGGTGATTGGGAAGATGGTGCAGGAGAGAGGGAAGAGATTTGTCATTCATAGAGCAGGTTGGTAATGACAGAATAATTTCCCATTCTACTTAGCCAGAAGTCCCACCATCATACAGAGCCATGAACGCATATACTGTACACTTACATAGAGATCCATAGGTTTAAATACAAACCAATAGATGCATATACACTTACGTAAAGACCCAAATGCTTACACAGATACATATAGACTCACATATACTTATAAAGAGACCAATAGATTCACGCTGGCATATATACTCCTACGCTTACAAACAGATACATTGACAGATACATATAGACCCATACGTTTAATACAGATCCATAGACTCACACACACTCACATATAGACCCATACGTCTACATAGAGATCCATAGACTCACACACACTCACATATAGACCCATACGTCTACATAGAGATCCATAGACTCACACACACTCACATATAGACCCATACGCTCACGTACAGATCCATAGACTCACACACACTCACATACAGATCCATACGCTCACGTACAGATCCATCGACTCACACTCACATATAGAGCCATACGCTCACATACAGATCCATAGACTCACACACACTCACATAAAGACCCATACGCTCACGTACAGATCCATCGACTCACACACACTCACATACAGACCCATACGCTCACGTACAGATCCATCGACTCACACACACTCACATACAGACCCATACGTTCACGTACAGAGCCATCGACTCACACACACTCACATACAGACCCATACGTTCACGTACAGAGCCATCGACTCACACACACTCACATACAGACCCATACGCTCACGTACAGAGCCATCGACTCACACACACTCACATACAGACCCATACGTTCACGTACAGAGCCATCGACTCACACACACTCACATACAGACCCATACGTTCACGTACAGAGCCATCGACTCACACACACTCACATACAGACCCATACGCTCACGTACAGATCCATCGACTCACACACACTCACATACAGACCCATACGCTCACGTACAGATCCATCGACTCACACTCACATATAGACCCATACGCTCACATACAGATCCATAGACTCACACTCACATACAGACCCATACGTTCACGTACAGAGCCATAGACTCACACACAGATATAGACCCATACGCTCACGTACAGAGCCATCGACTCACACACACTCACATACAGACCCATACGTTCACGTACAGAGCCATCGACTCACACACACTCACATACAGACCCATACGTTCACGTACAGAGCCATCGACTCACACACACTCACATACAGACCCATACGTTCACGTACAGAGCCATCGACTCACACACACTCACATACAGACCCATACGTTCACGTACAGAGCCATCGACTCACACACACTCACATACAGACCCATACGCTCACGTACAGAGCCATCGACTCACACACACTCACATACAGACCCATACGTTCACGTACAGAGCCATCGACTCACACACACTCACATACAGACCCATACGTTCACGTACAGAGCCATCGACTCACACACACTCACATACAGACCCATACGTCTACGTGCCTCGGTGTATGTGCAGAGACAGACATGTGAAGAAGGCACGTGTTGTCTTCTAGTTTGTCTGTTTACAATGTAACACGTTGCATTTTACAATGTAACAAGGCATACATCACAACTGAACCGTTGTATCTCACAATTTATTAAGTGGTATTTTATGATTTCATGTGTCGTATATTTCACGATTTAATACCTCTTATTTAACGATTTAATAAGTCAGATATCACAATTGAATAAGGCGTAATATACGATATAATGAGTGGTAAACTTCACGATTCAACAAGTCTTAATTTACGATTTAATTAGTGGCATTCTTCACGATTTAATGCCTCTTGTTTTACGATATCACGATGTAATTCGTTGTATTTATTTCTCAATGATTTCTGCATCAAATTGAGATCAGGTTGGGGTCACGTGGAGACTTCCTCTATAATTCCTCACTCCGCATCTCAGGGGAACGTCTGCTCACAGGAGCAATTCACCTACATGCAACCCTATTATCATTTTATAATTTACCAATTAAATATTGACAGAAAACATAAAGAAAATACATTTTCATGCAACCTATTTTCATTTCATAATTTACCAATTAAATGGTCACAGGAAACATTAAAATGTTTTTTTCATCAGGCTTGATTATGTAAACAAGTAGTCTGAATTAAGTGCTACGAAGTAGGGCCATTGGTCGAAACGTCACAGACCATATATTGTTCATCCTATGAAGGAATGTTTCGAGTTTATTTGTATTATTTTTATTAATACGACAAGTAACATGCACGTCATTTGAACCATCCGTCCATGCCAGCCAGCCAGCCAAACTTCATAAAAAATATGGATGCTTGTTGTGCATCAACATCATCATCATCATCGTCGCATTCCACGATTTGACACGCCGTAATGTGTGATTTATTCACGTCCTATTTCACGACCACTACCACACACATCATTGCACCCATCTCTCTCATCTGTACCGGGCCACTGCTGCTGCTGTTGCCGTTGCAGCTGCGCCTACAGGCACTTGTTTGCGATGCAAGGCTGCTTCAAAAAAATGTTAACACTTATACAGATCTTCTTGGTTCTTTCGGTAAAATCACGGAGAAGGGAAATAATAAAATAATAAAAATAAAACATAATAAAATCAAATTCTCACGACGTTTCGGCCCCAACACAAGCAGCCGTCCTCAGGTGAAGAAACAGAGCTGTCGGATAAACAGCATCTTAATGACATCTCTGTTTCTTTAGCTGAGGACGGCTGCTTGTGTTGTGGCCGAAACGTCGTGAGAATTTTATTGTTTTATTTTTATTATTTTATTATTTCCCTTCTACGTGACTTTACCGAAAGAACCAAGAAGATGAATCCCTGAATGCAGTCACGGAAGCTTTAAATCGAAACTTATACTGATAATAATACGCTGTAAACATGATAACAAATGTAATGTTAATAGCTTCAAAAAGTGAAAGTCTCCACTTGTTCGCCAGCATTGTCAACGCGTGCCTGGGATCTTCTCCAGGTGGTTTCCAGAGCGCGGATGCACATTTCTCGTGATATTGTTGCAAATTCTCGGAAGTGTTCACATGTTTTTGAAGCACGCTGTATATTTGTAGGAAGTGGATGGGGGGATGACTGGGTTAAAACACTGTTTGTCTTCGTGTTTAATGGCCCTCACTGAAGACAATGCGTGGCCATTGACTGCCCCGCTGCAGTTAAAGGCAGTCATAGCCATTAGTTTACTCTGCTTATGAGGTTAAAGGTAGTCTCTTTACCGTTTGGAAAGTTTACATACGTAAATACATAAATACAGTGTGGAAACACGTACATACACAAGGCAAAGATCCCCCGTGTAGGCCCACATAGGCTGTTGGGGCAAGTGCGGTCAGCGAGCACGTACGCAGGCCGGCGGAGTGGTTCTATCTGGTCAGCACCACGCCCGGCCGCTTTTGTCTTCCCCCAGTGCTGATGTTAATATACACATACACACATACACACACGTACACACATACACACACGTGTCGTATCAGGTACTCATTTAAGTAAGGCTGAGTCGACGTAGCGCGGCGTGCGAACCGCTGCGCCACCGCTCCCCATGTGTACACATACACGTACACACACACGCATATACGCACATACGTACACCCACACACGTACACCCACACACACACGTACACACACACACGCGCACACCCCCACACATAAAAGACAAAGACCCCCATATAGCCTTAACAAACTGGAGGGGCAAGTGCTGTTAGCGAGCACCTATGAAGGCCGCAACGGTACACGAGGGGGTGGGTGGCCAGCACCACGCCCGACCGCCTTTGTCTCACTAGTGGTGATGTTTACACACCGCACCAGGTACTCATTTGAGGCTGAGTCGACCTAGGGGAGGCCCAGGACCGGTTCTAATAATCATCACTGGTGTTGGCCGTGAGCGGGAATCGAACTCGGGTGGCTGGGTTCATAGCGCAGCGCGCTAACCGCTACACCACCGCTCCCCACACCCATCCACACACACACACGTACACACGGGCTGTATAAATCCACGTGGGAGCTCATTGTTACGAACATTAATTTAACAGCGTAGTCGAGGTGGTAAACTAAACTCTCTTAGCCATTAAAACGTCTAATTAGTCCGATGAGTTTTACGATGGGGAAAAAATGCGTTCCAAATTATATCTACACGACCACCGAGAATAAAAAAACATGTAATCAACATGTAGTCAACATGTAATTAACATGTAATCAACGCAAATGATGCAATGAAAGTACAACGGGAGGTGGATCGACGGAGCTTCTGAATGCGACCGAACCCCAAGACGATCTAGGTAAAATAGTGGAGGAGTCTCTGTAAGTCGATGTGAGGGGATGGGTCTCTGTGAGTCTATGGGTCTCTGTGAGTCTATGTGGGTCTATGGGTCTCTGTGAGTCTCTGGGTCACTGTGAGTCTATGTGAGTCTATGGGTCTCTGTGAGTCTCTGAGTCTATGTGAGTCTATATGTGGGTATATGGGTCTCTGTGAGTCTCTGGGTCTCTGTGAGTCTATGTGTCAGTTGATGGGTCTATGTGAGTCTATGTGAGTTTATATGTGGGTCTATGGGTCTCTGTGAGTCTATGGGTCTCTGTGAGTCTATGTGGGTCTATGAGTGGGTCTATGGGTCTCTGTGAGTCTATGGGTCTATGCGGGTCTATGGGTGTCTATGTGAGTATATGAGTGTCTATGTTAACATGTGAGCTTCTATGTTAGTCGCTGGGTCTCTGTGCTGATCTATTGATTTCTGCGTGAGTCTGGAGTGTCGGCATACCATCGGCAAATGTATTTATTTAAATTGATCTAAATCGTCTTCTTACCCACGAGGAGAACAACTTCATGAATGACAAAGCAATTAAATTGTGATTTAACTGCGTGGTGGTGAGCATCGCATCGGAGGGAGGATGGGTGAGGATGCTGGTGGTGAGTGGTGGTGAGTGATTGTGAGCATTGCATGGGAGGGAGGAGGGGAGAGAGGCCGTACAACCCTGTGCTAACTGAGCAGCATCCAAAGGTTAACGTTGTGTTTGAGGAGGGATGCTGCCTCCCTCCCTCTCGCTGTTGACTCTCGCAATTGAAGCCGAGCGACCCGGTGCGGATACAATGTATTACTATTACTGCAGCAGGGGCAAAGATCCCCCGTGTAGCCTTCGCGGACTGTCGGTGGTAAGTGCTGTTGACAGCGAGTAGCAACTACGAAGGCCGGCAAGGCACACGAGGGGGGTCGCGTGGATAGCACCACGCCCGACCGCCTTTGTCTTTCCCGGTGGCGATGTGTTACGCACCGCACCAGGTACTCATTTGAGGCTGAGTCGACCTAGGGGGAGGCCCCAGGACCGGTTCGGGTAATCGTCACTGGTGTTGGCCGTGAGCGGAATTCAAACTCGGCGACGCCGGGTTCGTAGTGCGATGTGCGAACACCACAACCGCTCCCACACACGCATAGCACACACCCATATACACACACACACACGCGTAGCAAAGGCAAATATCCCCTATATAGCCTTAACAGACTGTTGGGGCAAGTGTTCTTAGCAAGTAGCAGCACCTACGAGGCCCGGCACGGTTCACAACACAGTTATTACGCAAAGAAGTTTTACACTTCTCATTAACTATTTACTTTCATTACAATCGGGATGATGTATTCTATTCCTCACAGATAAAACAAAATTGAACTCACTACTTTAATCACCAACACTGCTGTGCTTGCAACGTACGAAATATAAAATCGACGTTTCAGGCAATGAACCTGTTTCGGACGAAGACGAAGAGAGTGCAGACAGATTGACTGGCCGGTCTTGGCAGATTGCAGTAAAAAGAACAAAAACATTGCCCTAACGATGATGCTTCTCCACTGGTATACGTTTGGCCAATTTCATTATTACCGAGCGTTTTTGTTATTGTTGTTGTAAGTGGAGCTCTCCGATGCGTTTCTGAGTTGTACCATGGTGCGAAACGCCGGGACAACCCATGCACGTGAGAGGCGGCAACTCTCTATCCCCGTACGGGTGGAGACAAGTGGCCATTAGTTCACGCCTGGTGTAACTGCCTTCTCCTGACGAGCTCTTCACGAGGGGATTTCACTCGTGGTCCGTTTTATTATTATTATTATCGGGTTGGATATCGCGATAACGCGAACGTATGAATGAGTGATATATTACGGTAGACGCGTCAGAGGATTCGTGACTTATCAAACTATGCACCGTTTAGAAAAAAAAGAAGCCGCTGAGATTATACGCTCCATCATCCATAGAAACCCATAGAGATCCATAGAAACCTATAGAGATCCATAGAAACCCATAGAGACCGGTGGAGATGTATTTCGCTCCGAAACATATTGCCGTACGCAAGAATGGAAGGGCGATATAAACACACGCAGATTTATTATAGACGAAGTCACTTCAGGAATTTAAATGTAGCGATAACGGCAATATAGCCCGGCATTGGAAGATAACCCGAGGGTTGCATTGTGTGTGATTTGTGCGTGATTAACACACGGCACACATGCCCCCCTCCCCTATAGCTTTGAAGGGACTGTTGGTGCACGTGCTATTAGCGAGCGCCTGGGAAGGTCGGTACGGCGCACGATGGGCGTTAGGTGGCCAACACCACCCCCGACCGCCTTTGTCTCCCCAATGCTGATGTTTACACACGGCATCACGTTCTCATTTGAGGCTGAGTCGACCTCGGTGAGGCCCAGAACCGGTTCAGATATTCGTCTTTGTTTGTTGGCCGTCAACGGGAATTGAACTCGGATCGCCGGGTTCTTCGTACAGTGCGCTAATCATTGCGCCACCGCTCTCTACAAATACACAAAGACCCCCCCCCCCCCATCGCCTTAACATATCACTGGGGCAAGTGCTGTTAGCGAGCACCGCAGTATACGTACATACGATACACACAAAGACACGGCCATCGGCGTGTCGGCCCTCTGCACGAGGTTTCCACTCCATTGGGCCTGATCAGCAGCGTGCGGCCGCTATAACTTGCGTTGCGTTATCCGCGTCGTCAGTTCTATACGGTCTGCCCGTCTCGTTGGTTCTGGCTCCTTTGTATTGCACAGTGAGTCCTCGCTTAACGCGCGGTGTTCACACTTTAACGCGACAACGCGGTTCTTCTGTTAGGGAACAAGTGCTGCCCGGTATAACGCGACACGCACCACCAGTTATAAGCAGAACGTGTCACTCGTTATAATATGGAATGCGCCTTTTATAACGCGGACTGTGTCACGTGTTATAACACTGAACGTTCCGCGCATGTGGAAATAAAACTGGAGGACCCGGAGAAAACCCTACAACACTTTTGGTGTCATCTGGTCCAACACCAATGGAGACTAGGCTCTAAGGAAAGCTGTCTCGGGTGTGGACCAATCAACTTCAAGGACAGTGCACATTATCATTATCAGAGCTGTTTATTTTTGTTTGCATTTTTACTGCTTGTGTTGTGGTTATTGCAAACATGATGCCTTGTATAAAGGTGTCAGTTTTGTACCAGTTTAAAGGGTTAAAACCTACTACTACCACTCTACACTATCAAAGGGACTGCACGGGCACAGCCTTTCCCAGCCACACTCTATTCGAACAAAGTTTTGCTGGCTGGCTGCCAGGCTGCCTGGAGCGACGGACAGACCGAAGCGGACCGCGCGGAGTTGGCCACGGCGTTCGAAGGCACGCCGCGGCCCTTCCCCCGGACCGCGAGGCCGTCGCCGCCGTCGAGGTATCTCGAGCGTCCACTCACCGTAGTCGGGCCTGCGGGCCTGCAGGTGCGGCGGGCGGCCCGCGTGGAGGCCGTGGTGGAGGAGCGAGCCGCCCTCGAACGGCCCCGGCGAGGACCACGCCGCCGCCGCCGCCACCTCGTGGCTCACGTACGGCGAGTAGACGCCGTTGTACGCCCCGTTCAGCGAGATGCCCAGCGAGCCGCACGTGTACTGCTGCTGCTGCTGCTGGTGCTGATGCTGGTGGTGGTGGTGGTGCTGGTGGGGGTGGTGGTGGTCTCTGCCGGCGGCCGACGCGGCCAGGGGGCTGCCCACGAACGGCTCTCGAGTTCCCACGGCGCTGCCGGAGGCCGCCGCGTAGGAGAAGCGAGGCGCCAGACTCTGGTGCATCGGCACGGTCGAGTACGAGACGCCGGACAGACCGCCACCGCTGTCGCTTTCAGGAGCTCCGCCAGTCCCGCCGGACACGGACGACGAAGGGCTCCAGGCGGAATGTCCGCCGCCGCCACCGCCACCTCCGCCACCTCCGCCGTGTTGCGGTTGCGATGGCGGGTGGAGGTACGGCAGCGACGGCAACATCTGCGTCACTCGGCTCGTCGGCACGAACACGGGGCCCTGCGGTGTCGCCGTCGCCGCCGCGGCCGCAGCGGCCGCAGCAGCCGCGGCGGCCGCGGCCGCAGTGCCGTGCATGAAGGGGCTGGCGTGGTGGTGGTGGTGCGAGTCGTGATGAGCGTAGCCCTGCGAGCCGTTGCTGGGGGACATTGAGAGGCTCTGATACATGGTCGCGGGGAGCTCGAGAGGATTGGCGTTTCGTGCGGGGAGACGGTCGGGGGTGTGACGGCGTCGTAAGCGAAGCTACTCGCTAGGAGCACTTTGCCCCGGCAAGCCTGTGTAGGCTATACGGGGGATCTTTGCCTTCGTGCGGTTTTTTTTAAGTACGCGTGGGTGTCATGAAGTCCACCTAGCCTGGCACCAGCGCCGTGGTGACGTCACCGCCAACGGCTGCTTGCTGTTGTTGTGGTTCAACGCACATGGATGTGTTCTTTGCGCAGCACTTGCCCCCAAAGTCTGTGAAGGCTTTACGTGGTGATATTTCTCTGTGTCTTTGTCTATGTGTGTGTGTGTGTCTGTGTGTGTGTCTATGTGTGTGTGTGTGTCTGTGTGTGTGTGTCTGTGTGTGTCTGTGTCTCCGGTCACTTCTGTAACAATTCCGCCTTCCTTTTGAAACTCTCTGATGTCACCTCGACTTGATGACAGCAATTATCTGCAAGCACAAATGGAAAGTATTCACCATCAAACGAGTACATCTGGCTATCCACCCCGCATCTATATGTGTATGTGTCATATATGCACACTGTGATAATGACATGAACAAAGCTACTTGCTAGTCCGTCCATACTTCACCACGCTGGTCACTGCAGCCGTGGTCAAGTGATTGTCCCCACGACTGCCTGGGATGTTGACCGCTGATCCAACTCGGGTCGCCGGGTTCGTAGCGCAGTGCGCTAACCACTGCGCCACCACTCTACCGACACTGTGTGTGTGCCTATGTATTTAAGCAGCACGTGATTGTCAAATTAGCGAGCGCCTATTAAGGGCCGATACGACAAACGAGATGGTAGTGTGACGAGTGCCGCGCCCGTCCGCCTTTGTCTCCCCTAATGACCGACGCTGCCAGAGCGTGCCAGGTACTCACTTAAGGCTGAGTCGACCTAGAGGGGGAAGGTCTCGGGATCGTTTCAAATATTCGCCGCTGCCGCTGTGCTCACCTCGGGCGCGATGCGTGGAGCGTCACCGCAACGGTAACATTGATCGCAACTCGCGTTTAGATTTCGCGCAGCGTTCATCAGCAGCGTTCATCAGCAGCGTTCATCAGCGGCGTTCATCAGCGGCGTTCATCAGCAGCGTTCATTAGAAAACGATAAAGAAAAGCGGCTCGCTCCCATTCCGTGAGCCTCCGTCTCGCTTCGCCTCGCGGCGCCAAGAGCACCACGGGACGGCGATTGCGATGAGCAAATAGAAACTCTGGACCGGGTTTCGACCTTGCGAGGCTCGATCAGCGGTCTCGGCACACAGATCGCGCCGACGATCGCCCAACGCAACGGCGCATACCCACAATGCAACGCGGCGCAGCACGCCCGCACGCCTTTGTCTCCCTCGTGGGGATGTTTACACTTTCGCACTCATTTGAGGCTGAGTCGACCTAGGAGAAGCCCCGGGGGAGGGGTTCAGCGCGGCGCGCGAACAACTGCGCCACCGCTCCCCACATGAGCCACAAAGACAAAGATTCCCCGTGTAGCCTGTAATAGACTATTGGGGCAAGTGCTATTAGCGAGCACCTTACCAGGGCCGTTACGGCACACGAGGGGTTGGGTGGTCAACACAACGCCCGGCCGCCTTTGTCTCCCGTGTGACAATGTTTTTTTATGCACTGCACCAAGTACTCATTTGAGGCTGAGTCGACCTAGGAGAGGCGCAGGACCGGTACAAATAATCGTCGCTGGTGTTGGCCGTGAGCCGGAATCGAACCCGGTTCGCGCAGCGCGGTAAACGCTACACGCTACCGCTCCCCATCACTCGCTCCCACACACACGCAACACACACACAGGTAAATAAGTAAATAATGAACGGATATAATGAATAAACATTTGCTTTGCTCGGCAGAGTGAACGACGCCTCTGAGTCCCTGTCTCGCTGTCTCACGCCCCCCACCGTCTCCCACCACCACCACCCGCGCCCCTAATCTTACACGAGGCGACACCATTATCTCGGCTACAACAAAAACAAACAAACAATGGGAGCTCACGAACTCTCGAGTCGGGATTACGCGGTGTTCGCGAACGATGGGAGGGTCGGTGGATCTCACGCAGATAGGCGCTTGTAGTTTGCGCGTCTCTCTCGCTCGTCACCGCGGCGTGCGCGATGACCACCACCACCACGTGTCTTTTCTTTCGTGTTGTGCGCGGTGCTTTTAGCGCCACAGCGCGTGGATTTTTAGCGTTTACTTTCATTTGTTTGCTGGCGACTTTGTGTATTTTATGTCGAAATCGCCTCCAGTGCTGTTGCTGCTGGCGGCAATAAAAGTTGTTTAAAAGTCAAAGTCTCCCTCGCTCTCCCCGTGGTCGCGTGGATTTTTCTCCGGCTCCTCGGGTGTCCCCCCCCTCCTCCACATTCAGAATGGAAATGCGTTGAGAGTATTTTGTCTGCTGTTATAAGTCCCCGCGTGATGATGAGCCACTTTGCTTGGCTATCATTTGCGATGGCCTAGGTCGCTTCCGAAAAAGAGCGAGGATGGGGCCTTACCTGGTGAAATAAAAATAGTCAATTCGTAGTAAATGGTACTTGGGTCGTCCGGCCCAAATCGTTTTTTTTCCTCTCCGCTGGAAAAAGCCACCCGATGTCTCCACCCGGAGATTCGTGGCTCACCGGTGAGATGTGAATGCATCGCCCACCGGACGATTGTCCGTTCCACCAACACTCTGTGAATCTCGCCCCAAGTGTTGAGATCTCAGCGCTGCAAGAAGGTAGAGAGGAGGAGGCGACTGATGACTGGTGGGTCACTCAGGAAACAGCTGGGGGGGGGGGGGGGTGATTGAGCATGGAAGAGTAGGCCAAATACAAATACCCTCTCTATCTCCCTGTAGTGGAGGCCCTTCCGGTAGCTACGCTGCACGTGGCTTGCCTGTTGTGATTCCGCGACGTGTGGCGGCAGCAGCGAGGGTTGTTGGATCACCGCTCAATATGTTGCGTGGTCACGTGTGGGTGTCGAGGAGGTGCCGTATCCCCTGGTTCGCCAGGTGAAGGCGGTGCAGAAAAGTGTGGACTAATCCATAATAGATGTTTTTGGTTTATCCATAATAGAGGACTAATCGCCATCTGTCTCCATCTTTACGGGATCAAGTGTTGTCCCCTCTCACGCAAGGCGTGGGGCTTTCCGGTTTTCTTCCACGTGGTATAACAATGGCAATAATGATGACAAACACAACTCATCATTAATTGGCCGCAAATATCCTTCGAGTTAAAACACCAATGCATGTTACGGCAGGACCCTCCTGAAAGGAGTCCTTGGGACTCATAGGGTAAGGGGTGAGGGTGGTTTTCGACATACTTCACCACGCCGGTGTCCCCGTCCAGCCTGGTGAAGGTGGCAGTACCCGGGTCGGTTTCAGATATCGCTCGCTCACCGCTGATGTTGCCCGTGGCCGGGAATCGAACCGGGGTCCCATCGACTTTGGTGCTTCGCCGGCGCGATGCGCTAAGCACTGCGCCACCGCTCCATCCCGAATCCAGATTGCTGGTCGTGAAATCAGTGATGTTCTTGTTGACGAAGGCCACTCGGCCGAAACGTTTAATGTTTAACCCCATGTTATTATATTACAAACTCCGGACCGTGTGAGTTGTATTCCTGGCAACGGCTAAAAGCAGTGGCGAGTGATATAGCCAAAGCAGTCCTGGGCCTCCCCTAGATCTACTCAGCCTTAAATTAGTACCTTGTGCGATGTGCAATTATCGGCAATGGGGAGACAAAGGCGTAGCGCTCGGTCCTTCATAGATAACAGCACTTGCCCCAGCGGTCTATAAAAGGCTATATGGGAGACCTTTGTGTTTGCGCTTACATACTATTTAAACGTTAAATATTTTACACTCGAGTGTGTGTTGAATCAGAACAATCGGAATATCATGCACTACCCTGATAGATATAATCACATTAAGAGTGAGTAAATGAACAGACCTCTTTACGCTATTTGCTTCCGATAATGTTCGAAATATGTATACAACGGTTGGGATTAATATACCCCCTTCCTTTAAACATATACTATCCTACTTACGACCACGGACAAATATTTCCAGTCCATTTATTTTATGACCGTATTCTCATGAGCACGCGCCACACCCACGCGTTCCCTCTTTATTGTGAAGTTAAAATTGTTATTTACGTTGTGTATTTTGTGTCGACCCCCATAGCGTACAGACAGGAGGGACCATTGACTGTAACATCGGCAGCTCACCTGCTAATGAGTGACGGTTTTGCTACCGTTGAACCATGGGTTCAAGCGAATCGACCTCAGGAAGGCTCAGGAACGGTTAAAATAATCGTTGGCCGTGAGCGGGAATCGAACTCGGGTCGCCCGGTTCGTAACGCAGCGCGCTAACCGCTACACTACCGTTCCACGCACACACACAAACACACGCACACACACACACATATATGTATATACACACATACACGCATGTTTGACCTTTCCTAACTAAGGCCAGTCGACCAGAACGTCAATAACCATCTTTACTCTGATTGACAGTACGTGAATACATAAAACTGGTAATTATTTTAATTTGGGGAGCGGGTGGCATTTGCTGAACTGTGTGCCCCTACCAAGTTAAACCGAGTTCGATTCCTGTCCACGGCTAACGCTGGTAGCGAGCTCAGAACAGCTGTAACGGGATGCTGGACACAATCACTCTACCCGCATTGGGCAAAACGTGGTGAAGTATGGTCAAACAACCACCCCCCCTCCCCTGCGAGAGCTACAGTGTTGGAAAATTTTGCTTTCATCCAGCAGCGAATCCGGAGACGACTTGATCTGTCAGCTGAAACGGGCATTTCCGAGGAGTTAACTCACGGATCTAATAATGCGTGGACCTGAAGCTTTAATTCGCAATCACCCACGCTGTTTATAGTCGTACGAAGTCTACTTTTCATGGTTGCGATTATGATTGTACGATTAGAATTGTAATCGTAAGTATAATATGATGTGGCTGTATGAGCATATGGTTGGAAATGCGTTCATCCGACAATGCGGATGCTTTAAAGTTTTGTCTTAAAACCATCATCTTCTGAAGCCCGTTTATTCTGTTTAGTTTCTCTGTCTCTCTTGGCCTTGAAGACATTAGTGGAAGGCATCTCACAAATACATGTAAATTAGTCTTATTAATAATCGTAATAACGATCGTATTATTATCCTCAATAGTCGTAATCGTACGATGGTAATATTAGTAATCACGAATATTAGACTTTTTACGCCGTACGAGTATACATGTAATCGTAATCACGGTTGTAACAATAAGCACAATTAAAGTTCGCAAGCTGGGTTCGCACCGGCAAGGGTTGCCGTCACTTCTCTCGGCTTTGTAATTCGCGACTTTTAATTTGAGTTGGCACGAACTTTAATTGCAGAATCAAAGTGTAAAACGTAACATTGTGGTTATGCACCGCGATGATCGTACAGATATTAATGGTTTGTACATTTTTCAATATATATACCGAAACAACAATCCACAACAATCATGTGTAGTATATATACACACACACAATAAAAAATACACGTGTTATTCCTCCGTCGCATATCTGTTGTCCTGCTCAATAACACGTAAAGGTATGTGACCAAGCACTCGTAAACTGGCCGACAACACCTTCACATATATAGATAGAGGACCGCGGAGCTTGGAGAATTGTTGGTAGCGCCCGCTCATCATCGCCCGCGTGTGCTTCCTTCCCTCGGCCATCGCGAGAGATGCAATTCGGATGAAGGGCGAGGCCGCTGGTTCCAATCCCTTCCTTTTCTGCCCTCCGATATGAGGACGTCACTGGAGCTATCCACTTGTAAATCTCGATTGAAAACGAATTTACTCAAAGCTGATTTTTGTGTTCAGTGTTTGTTGTTTTTCTTCCCCCGCACCTCCGATTAGCACGATTGGCTACGAACGGTGCGAAAGAAGTTTCAACGTGCCTACATAGCGATGTATAAGAACTCCGTATTCTAAACGTAGCGCTATTTGCACGAGGCATCAACGCGCTTTACATGAAATATTGAGTTACGGAGGAAGCCCTGCTGTAGAAGCAAGTGAGTTTTACGACACGGTGGCTATAAGATGTTAACTACCTCGTCTGGTATACAGGAGGTCGTCGGTTCGATCCCGACCCTGACGCCTGCTGTATTTGGAGTTTGCGTGTCTCTCTCCACGTGGTCGTGTGGATTCTTCGCCGGTTCCTCCGGTTTTCCCCTCCACATTTAGAATCAACACGCGTTTCGAGTATTTGGCTGCTGTAAATGTTCACGTGATAAGCCACTCCGTTGAGCTATCAGTTGTGCCCAGCTTCTGACAAAGAGCTGCATTGCTCAGAGTGGGGCTTACCTTGTAAAATAACACAAATTGTACAGGATAGTAAAACGTGCAACAGACTGAGATTCCGTGATGAATTGAGGAAGATAACTCCACCATCACGAAGCCTGGCTGCAAAACGCCTCCGTCTCTCATCGAACAAAGTCTGGCCTCTATGGACTCATCATCATCATCATTATGATCATCATTATGATCATCATGATGATGATCGTGAAGTTTAGACCAGAATGAGCAGGTCGAAGTATGCACAGTGAAATATAAAACTTGAGCGGGTGGGTGGAGATGTGTAGGGGCCACAGGAATGGTCACACAATTTCATTATGAAACTAACACAGTATTATCATTAATGTTGTTATTATTATAATTGTATAACGTCCCACCAGACTTGCAGGTACAATATTTTAACGAAACAAAAAAAGGAAACCTCCGCAAATATTTGCCAATTATACATTGGACAAATTATACTTGCGAAATGAAATAATGAATATACGTATACATCTAATTTCACTGCACCTCGAATATATCCACAGGGATTTTAAATAAGCAAATATAAAGCGAATTAATTAAATGAATAATATACAGCCCTTGGTGAGTGCAGCTGGATGAAGGCTTCCTTACGCTATGAGTGCGTACGCGTTATATGAAATGTATGGGGAGCGGTAGTTTAGCGGTTAGCGCTGCGCTATAAACCCGGCGACCTGAGTTCCTATTCCCGCTCGCGGCCAACATCGGTGACGATTATCTGGAGCAGTCCTGGGCCTCTCCTAGGTCGACTCAGCCTCAAATGAGTACCTGGTGCGATGTTTAAAACATCGCCACGAGGGAGACAGAAGCGGCCGGGCGTGGTGTTGGCCCCCCACCCCCTCGTGCATCAGTGCCGACCTTCCCAGGTGCTACTCGCTAACAGCACTTGCCCCAACAGTCTGTTGGAGACTACACGGGGGACCTTTGTTGTTGCACGCGAATATGAATGTGAGTTGGTACTCGTCATTAATGGGTGATTGCGAGCGGAACTTGCCCCAACAGTCCACAGAGCTGCACGGTTCCACATTCGATATCGCGCGATTTTGCAGCATTCACAAAATGTATTGCACGCAGGATTTTGTATCGTTGTTGTTGTTGTTATTGACAGATTGTAGGGATGACGGTAAATTCATTATTTTGGCGATGCTGTTGCTGCCGCGTTGGCCAGTGGTACACAACTACAGTCAATAAAAAAACAACTCAGCACACAGTCCATACAACAGTCGACGTTTCAGGGCAATAACCCCTTCTGCTATATAATAAAACGCGCCATCGCCTATCGTAAAAAAAAACCCAAAACTATTTTCGAATCAAAATCACCTAGATTTGATTCACTGGTTGAGAAAATGTTCTGCCGGTTTTCCAACCCCGAATTGTTTATCTGTAGCGGCTACTCGTGGTGTCGTGGGCCCGTGATTAATGCGCGGTTTCTACAGCAGATGTCTGTTTGGATGCAACCGGTCACAGGTAGATTTCCACCTTCAATCTATACGCTGTGAAAAAGGGGCATTGCCCGAAACGTCGCCGAATATATTGGTTACTCTATAGGGGGAACAGTGTTGTTGTTGTGACCTGCTATGTGGTGAGTGGGTGGGTGAGTTGGTTGTTGTGACGTGCAGTGTGGTAGTGGTGGTTGAACGCAGTGTATAATTCATAAACACATTAGAGCCGCGACAATTTATACGGGGCGAGCACGTGTTTGGATCTAGGGTGTACATCTATATTTGTCTAATTGATTTTCCAAAAGCAACTTATAATCGAATCAACTGGTAATTATTTATGCAAATAAGTAGATTGACTTCGAAACACTCACGCACACAGTCCAGCACACCTAACCCACGCACACCTAACACACACACACCTAACACACACACCTAACACACACACACACAACTAACCCACACACACCTTACACACACACACACCTAACACACACACCTAACACGCACACACCTAACCCACACACCCTAACACACACACACCTAACACACACACACCTAACACACACCCACCTAACACACACACACCTAACACACACACACCTAACACACACACACACCTAACACACACACACCTAACACACACATACCTAACACACACACACACCTAACACACACACACCTAACACACACACCTAACACACACACACCTAACACACACACACCTAACACACACACACCTAACACACACCCACCTAACACACACACACCTAACACACACAC